TGACTTGAGGGACAAAGGAAGGAATTTGAATTGATTTCCAGCCTACTTCTTGAATATTTACAAGGTCAGATCTTCTAAATCTTGAATCCCAACCAACTGGAAGCAGTTTTCCTTCCTTTGTGCTCTTACAGCCCTTCTTTGTTCGCTCTTAGCACCCCAATAATCTGCTTGGTTAATTGTCTATTTTTTTATCTTCCCTAATAGATCATAAGACTCTTGTAAAAAGAGCTATTTTATTCCGCGTTGTGTTCCCATCTCTGCTTCACAATTATTTAATTACTGTATAACATATTTATGCCTTTTTGGACCTAACTGATCATTTTCCCCCTCCGCTTCCACTTCTCGACCCTTCATACATACTCCTACCCAGGGTGTTTTTTTCTTTGGATCTCCTCTTCCCCATAAATAAAAGTTTACCCTTCTAGCCTCATAAATCAGTAAGGTTTCCAGAAAGCCTCTTCTAATTAGGCAACAATTCCGAACACTATTCTTGGCTGCATCTCTCTATCAGCACCAGTTTCATTCTCTCCCTCCTTCTTTGTTGTCAAAGCAATTCTTTTTTTATTTTTTTCCATTCAAGATCTTCCCAGCCTCATAAAAAACAAAGAGTATGCTCTTGGGAGGGAGTTATGGAAGGAGAGATTCCGAAGTCCAGCTTTAAAGCAGGCTACTGAGCTTGTCAGGTGCCTGATTATCATCACCCATCCTTGGCCGGTCACTCTCTGCCCTGATGCCTGTTACTCAGTGTAGGAAGGAGATAGCTCTGGCTGCACTCCCTAGAGTCCTCCATGCTGGGAAGGAGGGAGGAGGGGTGGAAAGTTAGTGAGAGCCTGCATGAGCTGCTGCAGATGCCCAAGATAGCAGGAGACCCAATCTGTTTCCCATGTATATATTCTCATTGCTGATAGATGATGGACATCCTTTATTTAGATAATTATTATTGCTATTAAAATATTACCTGAAAGGTGCATATTATTGGATAAAATGAGTGTCTGAGTGTTTTCTCTCTCCCACTTAATACTCCTACTGAATTATATGTTCTATTTCTTACTAGCAGTGGAAATGAAGTTTCTTATGCCTTTCTTTAGCTTTTTTAGAAGATAGAAATAATTTTGAGGAAATGCCACTCCAGGAATGCATTTGTTTCCCTGAACTGTATGTAAATAATGAGCTGAGGCAGTGTGAAAGGAAAGGGAAGAGAGGAAAGGGGAGGAGGAAAGGAGAGGTTTATTGATTACTGCTATATGCCAGATATGCTAGGGAGTGAACGGAATACTGAAATCACCTTCTCCAACTGCCCAGAAACCAAGTGAGGTAGCCATACTCCCATTTGACAGATGAGGAAATCCAGGCTGCAGGTCACATAGCTAAGGATTGGACTAAGATTCAAACCTGGGCTTGACTAGAGCTCCTGATCTTGGTTCAAAAATCGTCACTGTGTGGGAGAAGACTTGCACACTTGCCAAAAGATATATGCTAGTCTTCTAGGATTAAAAAAACCACAGAGGTGCCGGCGCGGTGGCTCTTGCCTGTAATCCTAGCACTTTGGGAGGCTGACGTGGGTGGATCACCTGAGGTCAGGAGTTCAAGACCAGTCTGGCCAACATGGTGAAACCCCATCTTAGATTTAAAAAAAAAAAAAAAAACACAGGTGGATGACACTGGTTTTCCTTCATAGGAAAACTTTAGTTTTTATTGTATGCAGATCTTCCTGAAGGATATTTCTAATGTGAAAAATTTTAGCAGTTGTCTTAGAGCTTCTCTTCTTGATTTCCTCACAGTTACAGTTTCTTTATAAACAAAGTATTAATAGAACAATGTAGGGCAAAGACTCCTTCCCCCTTTAGCATGTGTCTCCCAGACCATGTTCTCTCACGTAAAGAGCCTGGTGCCCCCCCGAAACACAAAAATTCACTTAACTATTTTTTTCTTAAGAAAAGCAAGATCCTGTTACCAAAATGACTCTTAAACTCTTCTCAAAACTTCATTGCAAAGGAAATGAAACTATTAAAAGACCATTGCTCTGTAATTCAGGAAATTGAATCAACTTGTATGGAGCCATAAGCAGAGGAAGATTTGACTGTACTGAGCCACATATTGTGAGATTAAACAGTGCCCTGCTCTGAAATGATTTTACCATTCGTGAGCTGTCTCTTTACCACACCATGGAACTCCTCAAATGCTTCCTTTTCTTTACTACCTAAAATTACAGTTCTCTGCACAAAATGAAAATACTTTGTCAGATGTCCACATTTGGAGTAATTTTTTTAAACTTTCATTTTGATTTTCCTTAATGTTTCTATAATACTACTGAATATGTGTTTATAATAAATGAAAGATATACGATACATAGATCTTGAGCTTGAAGAATTTCTGCATATAAGTATTGATGATTGCGATTGGTTGATGGGTTCATGACAGCTCATTACACTGTTGCTGTACTATTACTGTGTATTTTACATTTTTCATAATAAAATGTTTAAAATATGTTTGTAATTCTGCAGAAAAAGTTAACTCACATTGTCTATGTTCTTCCTGTACTGCTCTACCCAGAGAGCACAATCTTCCCACGCTCCACCCACTAACTTAACACTGGTCAAATTTAGGCATATTGAGCAGAGTAAGGAAGGGAAGGGAGATAAATTGTGGTTGGACTCAATAGCTATGATATGCTCCTTCTTGGCTTAAAGTCCATGACAAGAACAACCATCACTCACATGTTAGATTCTAGATTGCTGCTGTAATAGTAATGAATTGCTGCAGACCAGACAAGAAATAACATGTTTTTATTGTTGTTGTTTTTTTCCAAAAGCTAATTGAAGGTCGGGAGCATTGGCTCATGCCTATAATCCCAGCACTTTGGGAGGCCGAGGCAGTCAGATCACTTGAGACCAGGAGTTACAGACCAGCTTGGCCAACATAGCAAAACCCCATCTTTACTAAAAATGCAAAAAATTAGCTGGGTGTGGCGGTGCACATCTGTAATCCCAGTTACTCAGGACACTGAGGCATGAGAATCGCTTGAACCCGGGAGGGAGAGGTTGCAGTGTGCCGAAATTGTGCCACTGTACTTCAGCCTGGGTGACAGAGTGAGACTCCCTCAAAAAAAAAAAAAAAAAAAAAAAAAGAAAGAAAGAAAAGAGAGAGAGGAGAGGGAGAGAGAGAGGAAGAAGAAGAGAGGAGAAAGCTAATTGAATCTAGCTCCAAGCCCTAGTCCTCAGTTTTGGAAAGTCCAATATCAGTGATTGAACACCTTCTCCTTTTAAGAAAATTGATTTAAAACTTGTAAATAAGTCAGTTATTTCCTTCATAGGAAAGCTCTAGTTTTTGCTGTATGCAGATCTTCCTCAAGGGTGTTTCTAACATGAAAAATTTTAGCAGTTGTCTTAGAGCTTCTCTTCTTGATTTCCTCACAGTTACAGTTTCTTTATAAACAAAGTATTAATAGAACAACTTAGACTGCTTTGTACCTTTTTAATATCATACCAGAACACCGTGTAACAAGCCCTCCTAAAGATGATTTTATGCTCCGGGCCCCAGACCTGTCCAGTATGTTAGCTGTGGCTGTTGAGACTTGAAATGAGGCTAAGTACAACTGAAGAACTGAATTGAGATGTACCGTAAATGTAAAAAGCACACTGGGTTTGAGGACTTACAACAACAGGAACAAAGGTCTCCATAATGTGTATATTGACACATGTTGAAATGATACTATTGTGGATATAGTGGTTTAAATAAAATAGTAAAATTAATTTTACCTATTTGTTTAACTTTAAAAAAATGTGGTTAGTAGAAAATTTAAAGTTACATATTTGCCTCATATTATGTTTCTGTTGGAGAGTGCAGCCCTAGAGTTTATGAGAAGGTAACTTTAACTAATTATTTACTCTTGATTAGAGTCCAGACTGTGAAGTTAGATGTTAGCCTGTAGATGATTAGTAAGCTGCAAATGATTTCTATTTATAGCCAAAAGGTAACCCCCAAAAGTTTGTATTTTTATGGCTCTAGGACATAAATTGTTTTGTGTCCAACTTGGTAGATTTCATCCATGTTTTATTTTCCTTAACAGTTTGACTAAATTTACCTCTGATAGTTGTATCAATCAAAATCTTGTTATATGACAGAGCTGGAAAATCTCTAGCTCTTCTTGTACTAAAAAAGATGATTAGTCCTGTTGATCAAGTGATATAATGGATATAAATTTGTTTACTCTGTGAATTGTTTATTATGCATATATTTGGAATTATGCCTCATTGAATTGTCTTGCTCTGCTTCCTTAAAAGGACAGTGAAAGAGAAGTGAAAATATTGAACAATGCTGATACTAAATAACCCCTATTTTCTTTCCCTCTCTCTGCTCCTGTGTTTATGTAAATAAAAGTAGAGGAACTGTGATTTAAAATCCCAGATCTCTGTCCCCAAAGAAAGATTTCCAAAGGTCCTCATTCCCAGCATGAACCCATAAAAACATCTTGCTCTCCCCTGTGGGGCATGTGCTGCCCTCCTCCTCCCATCCATAAGGAAGAGGGTTTTGTTGTTGCTGTTTTGAATGAGCCTGTCATAAAAGCAGCAGAAGCCATTTGACAGTAGCCGTGCTACTGTTTCCAGGCACCCAGAACTCCTATTTGTAGCTTTCTTGAACACTTGCTTTCTAACCCTTTTGAAATCACAAGAGATAGAGTAGCAAATAGGAACCTGTTGTATATTCCATTTGGCTATTTGTTTGTTTGTTTGTTCATATTGTCAACTCACTACCTTGAATCTAAAGAGACAAGACCATAATAAAGGACAGTGTACAAGACCTGAGGTTTCAAGCTCCAAATCTCTTAGCTACCAAAATAAATAAATACTGCAGAGCTGTTTGTGAGCAAGAGAAAACATCTAGACAGAGTAAGGCTAAAGTCCTTTTTCCTTCACCCCTACCCTTTCCTCTTCTGCATCTAGAGATTTAGAAAATTGCTATAACCATGAATTATTAGGCATGATGTTTTATTTTATTAGGTTGGAATGAAATACAGAAACCTAATCCTGAAACCTGGGGGATCTCTGGACGGCATGGACATGCTCCACAATTTCTTGAAACGTGAGCCAAACCAAAAAGCGTTCCTAATGAGTCGAGGCCTGCATGGTTCGTGAACTGGGGATCTTTGGTAGCCGTCCCTGTCTGGAGGACAAGTCGACATCACTGTGTGTTACTGGCCTGGAAACTAAAGGGAGTTTTGCAAATGAAAATTTAGATTTTTATTGATGTCCTTTTGTTTTCTAATTTTAAAAATTATAAAGATGTAAATGGAATTATAAATACTGTGACCTAAGAAAAGACCCAGTAGAAAGTAATTGTAGTATAAAATTTCATAAAACTGGATTTGATTTCTTTTTATGAAAATTTCATATGAAGGTAACTTGATTTTTTACTATTATCTAGATAATATAAGAGGGCTAAGAATTTTTAAATTGAATCATATACATGATCTAATTTATCCTTCTTGTATCTTGAAGTTTTGTACTTGGGATTTCTGTACTGATAAATGAATCATCACATTCTTCTGGTAAATATTTTCTTGGAACTCTGTGTCAACTTTGATCCTTTGTCTCCCAGGAAGGTGTAACCTCTCCTTTGCCCGCATACCTCAAGGCCAGGGGAATATGCCTCAGTGATGCATTTATCTTTGTGTATCAGGCTACACGATTCCCAACTTTGTGCCACATTTAAATTATCTTCCTCCATTTGAGTTTGTCTTCTCTGTCTAAAGTCCAGTCAGAGAGCATCAAAAAATTATGTTTCAACTAGGCTGGTCTAATATATAAGTTTTTGTATCTTTTATCAGAGGATTTCGTAGTTTGTATTAGAGGCTCATTTCCACTTCATCATACAAGATCGTCAATCTTTTGGCATGTATGCCAATTAGAATACTAAAGCTAGCCCAAGCACATTTTTCTCTTCCCATGTTTCTAATGAGTGTTAGGGACTTTGCCTCTTTTACTGACCACGTCCCCAAAAGTGTCAGGTAGATATGTCACAAATGGCTCTGTAGAGAGCCATGGGAAGAGAGAGGGAATGGATGTAGAACATAAAAGATTCAGACACCCCAGAAAAGGAGTGGGTTTTGGACAGAAGCATTTGAGGACAGCTGCTCCAAAGCCTTATGTGTGTGATGAAACTCACTGCAGGGAAGACAGTCTTCAGTAGCCTATTTCATCTGGTGATTTTTATTTTAAGTGAACTGTTGAATCTATCTTTAACTCTCTTTATTGTAGGTCTAAATTCCGATTCTACAGCAGACCAGTAAACTCACAGTATTTCTTTTTCCTGTAGGAGTCTATTCAATAAGGAAACCAAGACAGGATAATAAAATTAAAAAAGAGAAAAAAAACTTTGAATGTACCCTGCCTAGGTCTTCCAGTTGTTTTCCATTGCATACCTTAGGTATGACTTTACTGGCCAGGGACAAAATTAGCACCTTTCGATTCTCTGGTCCAAGTGGACTTTGTGCTAAATAAAAAAAATTATTATACTACATAATAAAATTACAGACAGCAGGAAATTCAAGAGCTAGGAGATTCCTAGATTATAACTGCCAAGCAAATACCTTAAACATCCACCTAAAATCCTACTGCCCTGTCTTGTGAGATTATTTCCCCAGCCCTTCTCTTCCCCACACTCACTCAATGTCACCCCCCTAGTCCCCAAAACTGTTTTTGTGGTCTTTGCAGCCTATGGTTGTTTTCCAATATCTTCCCCCCACCCCCAGACTTTTCCGTTTTCCAATGTCAGACAAAAAACTCTTCAGCTTTTTCCAGTGTGTCTCCTTAACAGTAACTTTACCATTTGAAATCTTATTTCACACAGGAAAACTAAATTGGTGTGGAAAGGCTGCACACAATAAAGTTACATTATTATACATGAGAACGAACTCATATTTCTTTCATACTTAGCGTTAAAACTGAAATGCATGAGAACAAAAGCACCATGGTATTCTTTTTAAAATTTAGGGCCTACCTCTAATATTTAAAATCTACAAAAGAACATCACAAAATTAATACTCAGGCCAGGTTCAGTGACTCATGCCTGTAATCTCAGCAGTTTGGAAGGCCAAGGCAGGCGGATCACCTGAGGTCAGGAGCTCAAGACCAGCCTGGCCAAAATGGTGAAACCCCATCTCTACAAAAATACAAAATGTAGCTGGGCATGATGGCTCATGCCTGTAGTCCCAGCTACTCGGAAGGCTGAGGTAGGAGAATAGCTTGAACCCAGGAGTAAGAGGTTGCAGCAAGCCGAGATTATACCATTGCACTCCAACCTGGGTGACAGAGCAAGACTCAGTCTCAAAAAAAAAAAAAAAATTAATACTCAGAAACTTCTCTAACATAATTCAAAAGAAAGGACTTACTTTTTTAAACCTTTTTGAATGTGACCATCTATCTAGTTGTTCTTTTTTTCTATATCAGAGCAGAGAGTATCACTGACATGCTTGAAATAGTGGATAACTGGAAATTGTAATTGGACAAATGTACACTTAAGATTTATAGACTGAGCCACATGTAATAAAGTCTCTCCTGGTAATTGATCCAGGGGATTTAGGCCTTTTTTTTTTTAAGGCGTTGTTATGTTGTGAAGGATAAAATCTTAAACCTCTTATGCTAATGGATAGTAGGCATGATCCTAAAGGTTTAGTTTTACGATGCTGCAGAGAAGAGAAATGCCTTGACGTTATGCCACCTGATGTAGACTTTGTCCCCCTCTAATATAAATGTTGCATGTTACCTAGATAAACAACTAACAATTGCCTTGAAGAGTTATCACCTGAGCTACTTAGGTCAGGGTCTTGCCTTCCTAAAGCTAATAAGATGAGAAGTGGATATCTGTAGCTCTTTGGATGACAAATTGCATTGTGGAAGAGGCTAAAATTGAGGAAATAACTCTTCAAAGAAAAATTTCTGATATGATCATTGTACTTGTAAATGCCTTAGCTAATAGGCAGTGACTCAATTTTCTACTTCACCATTTTACCTTTAGCCTCTATGTATAAATTAAAGGTCTGTGGAGATCCTGCCACCCCACTAGGCCAGTTTGTTTGTGTTTTATCATTTATTCATTTTCTATTATATACAGGTGGAACTTTCCAAGTGCCAAGGAAATTGTATTAAAATGTACATTAAAATACTGTCATCAGGCTGCTACAACAAAATATCACAGAGTGGGTGGCTTCAAAAGCAGACACGTCTTTCTTACAGTTCTGGAAGCTGGGAAGTCCCACAAGCCACATGCTGGTAAATCTGGTTCATGGTGACGCCCCTCTTCCTCTTTTACTGACCATATCCACAAAAGTGTCAGGTAGACATGTCACAAATAGCTCTGTAGAGAGCCATGGGAAGAGAGAGGAGGCAGATGTGGAACATAAAGGGTTCAGAAACTTCTGCAGGCAGCAGTGGCAGGGAGCAAGTCCCAGTGTCTCTTTTTATAAGAGCACGAATCCCATCATGAGAGCTCCACCCTAATGACTTCATCTAAGCCCAGTCACCCTCCACAAAGACCCCAACACCTAACCCCATCACATTGGCAGTTAGGGCTTCAATGTAGTGAAGAGGGCACAAACATTCAGTCCATAGTGAATACTGATTCCTCAAAAAGGGTTTAAACATAGTTAACTGAGCCCCCTAAGAATGTTAAAAGAGAAAATCCATTTTATTTGAATAGATACAGTGACCAAAGCTGCTTCTCTCAAATCAACATATAACAGTTAGATGTTTCCCATCTGAAATTGGATAGCCCATTGAAATTGAACATGCCTTCTCCTAAATGTGTGGTGAGAATAAAAGCAAGAAAGAACCGCATGCGGTGGCTCACACCTGTAATCCTAACACTTTGGAAAGCTGAGGCGGGAGGATCCTTTGAGCCCAGGAGTTTGAGACCAGCCTGAGCAACATAATGAGACCTTGTCTCTACAAAAACTAAAACGATTAGCTAGGGATAGTGGCATATGCCTATAGTCCCAGCTACTTGGGAGGCTGAGGTGAGCCCAAGGAGGTCAAGGCTGCCGTGAGCCATAATCATGCCACTGTACTCTAGCCCGGGTGACAGAGACATACCAGTTAATTTGCAAAGAACTGATCTTATGTAGGTCTTTTAAATAAGACCTTAAAATTTAAAAGAAAAGACCTACATATGCTCAGTTCTTTGCAAAACAGTCAACATCCAAAAAGCTTATTTTTTGAGTCATCTTTAGTGGGGAAATTTCCCACTGGAAACAGATTCACCTAAGTGATTAATAACTATATCAAGGCAAAAGGTAAAGGCTGTAAGATGTAAGTATTAGACCAAAATAGACTTTTTCAACAAACACACAATAATGCTGTAAGTTTGTAACAAAACAAAATTTTAAAAATTGAGGTAATGAACACAACCATGTACACACCCCCATATCACATCATGAGTGATTCTTGAGTTTTTATTTGGTTGAATTCACCTTGTAGTTCCTTTTCCTGAGAAAATATACGTTCAACACATCTAGTCCATGATGTACGTACAAGGGGAAGGGGTGAACAGGAACTAGGCTCCCTTGTTCTGCCCACATGAGCTGAAACCTGTACTAGCTGCGTATTTCATAGGCCCCAATGGCTCACCTCCCATGATAAACTGTCTCTAGCATTTGTCATGAGAGAAACTGTATGGCTAGAAATAGTTTAGAGAACTGTTCATTGAGTCCAGCAAGACACTGGTGTCACTGTTGACATCTTTGTGGCTAAGATGGAGAATGTAACTTAATAGTTATCCAGGTGGATTCCTAGCTATTGAAACAGAGTGAGATAGTTGCATAATGATTAACGTTAAACTGGGGGTAATTTCAAATCATTTGGCTAAAAATGCAAAAAATCCCATGAAAAGGTATCAAATTTACAGATGACAGGGCTGGAATTATTAAGTATGATGATATTAATATTTTAAATTATTTTGGCTGGGCATGGTGACTCACACCTGTAATCCCAGCACTTTGGAAGGCCAAGGTGGGTGGATCACCTGAGGTCAGGAGTTCAAGACCAGTTTGGCCAACATGGCGAAACCCCATCTCTACTAAAAATACAAAATTAGCCTGGCATGGTGATGGATGCCTGTAGTCCCACCTACTCGGGAGGCTGAGGCAGAAGAATCGCTTGAACCCGGGAGGCGGAGGTTTCAGTGGGCTGACGTGTCACTTTACTGCAGCCTGGACAACAAATGGAAACTGTCTCAAAAGTAAAAAATTATTATTATTATATTTTAAATTATTTCAATGTGGAGACAAGCTCAAAATGAAATTAGACACATTTCATTACCAAAGTAAAAGAGAAGCCTGACTTGATAGTAGTATGCAGGAAAAAAAGAGTTGGCAGTTTTATTTGGCCAAATTCTAATATCAGCTCATAGTACAGCACACCTGGGGAGGAGGGCAGGAGGCGAAAATGAAGGCTAAGGGTGTGTTGATAGAAGTATGTGGCCAGATCAAAAGAATAATCCCTCCAGACTCCAGTATAAGATCAACTCACTGTTGAAATACTGTGTTCCCTCCTAGGTATCACATTTTAAGCAGACTTTGGCCAAGTATTACAGTGTTTCCAGGAGCAGGAAGAAGTTGGTGATAACTTTGAAAATACTTCTCAAAAGAAATATATCAAGATAATTTGGGAAGTTCAGTCTGGAGATAATTCAGAAATACAGATGATTATTGTTTTCAAATACTTAAAGGATATGGGGGAGGGAATAGGCTAATTCTGTATTGCTTCAGAAATCAAATGGAAACAATTAAATTCTATTAGCGAAATTGTTAGAAAATATGAGGAGGCTTCAGTTCAGTATGAGGAAGCCATTTCTAATAATGATTGTTGATTAAAAATACATTCTCCTGCTGTGAAGAGCCTGTAGCTGCCATGAGGGTTACAGAGGACATTCCTCCTTTGAGTTGACATTTGTGCCAAATCAGCTTTGAGGGCTTCTCCAGCATTTAAGATGCAATAATGATAAGATGCTCGTTGGAAAAAAACATCCCTCAGATGAAACAGTCACAGGCTGGCTCTGAGAACTGGCATCAGATGATTGCGGCTCCCCCCTACTGCAAGAATATTGTTTATGGCTTCAGGTTGGCTCACTCCTCACCTGTAATCAAAGTTTATCCAGAGGTTAAGTTACCAGTTTTCCGGTGGGTATCTGGGAACTGAGACTAGGAGACTAACAGTTGTATATGAGCATAATAAAGCAAAAGACTGTTACAGAGTGAGTAAATGTTCATTTTCTTCCCTTACAGACTTACATTTACTCTCTGTCCATTCCACTCACTACTGTCTTCACCACACACACAGAGGCAAACATCGGATTCAGATACCCAGGTGCGCCATGCATGCACTCCACTATGTTGTGATCTCTTTGAGGCTTGTTTCTGTCCCCAGTGCTCCACAGTCCTGGACTGTTAATGAATCGTTCATATGTGTTTGTTAATAAATATACGTTCTTTAAAATTATCTTTTGTTATAAAGGTGCTTTTTTTTCTATGATAACTGCAAAATACCTAATTTGTAAATAAACCTAAAACTATACAGATAAGTTCTTTCTACACCTGCTGGGGGCAGAGTTCTACATGAGAGTCCTTTTCATTACTGTACTGAGAGTTTCTGCATGAGGTAGATGAAAGAAACATGTTTTCTGTAAAAGAAAAATTGGGAATGAAGAATGTTTTTAAAGTTTTCTCAGCTTCTCTCTATGATTATGTATTCCACACCTAGGAATTTCTTAATCTAGAATCTCTGGTTTTCTTGGGTGATCTATGAAAAGGGCAGAGCAAGCAGATGTCCTATGATTGCCCTGAAATTATATATGTTCATGTGCATGGATACATGCATTTTTCTAGGGACAGGGTCCTTAGCTTTAAACAGAACAACTGTCTTTAAAAATGTGCTTTCAAACGTCTGTTTTTGAATTCATTTCAAAGACTCTAACATGCCCATTGTGTGTCAGGCACTGTGCTTGGCAATGAGGATACAAAAAGACACCCCAGAACTGGAGTTGCTCACAGTGGAGTGGAAAAAGCAAATGCGTTCATAGTTTATTGAGATAAATTATAATAGAAAGGCGTGTATCCAAAGCTTTTGCGTGTTTTCCCCCCAACCCTAGTTGACTCCACTATACAATTTGACTGTTGTGCCACAAAATTTTACATAGTTTCCATGCCACCTGCTACCACAGGCCTCTATTTTTAACAAAATGATTGTTTTTCTCTTTTCAGCATTTCAGGAGTGGGACTAAATGGTGTTCTATATCTGGTACATCCAGGAGTTTCTTAGAACTGGGGTTAAAGAGCTTATAAACAAGAGATGAAAATGTTCACTTTCGCCATTTTTGTACAAGTGGTTATAAATTGACAGCCATTAGAAGAATGATGCGGGACCCCTTTTGCGCTAACACATGTTAGATACCCGAGAGGCATTAGTACCTCCTGTAATTCTAGAAAACAGGTTGTTTAAAATACTCACTGAGTCATTTAGAGATGGTCCAGAACTAGTCAAGATTTCTTACTTCCTGCTCCCAGCAACTTTTTTTTTTTTTGAGACCGGATATTCCCATGTTGCCCAGGCTGGTCTGGAACCCCTGGGCTCAAAGCGAAGTGATGGGATTACTGGTGTGAGCCACTGTGCCTGGCCCCCTCAGTATTAATAATTTCTGTTCCCACTAATAAGAGCCAAAAGAAAGGCACCCTAGCACTTCAACCTCTTACTGCCTATTATCTGTGACTTCTTTATGTTAGGATAGAAACTGATTAAACAGATCAATGAAAGACCAAAGAAACCTCAGGGCTCCACGGTTTAGACAAAAACTGGGGCTGGACTTTAAGCTTACATTCCATTTCCTTCTGTTTCTTTAAATAATCATCTGCTTTTCAGAAGTCCTCGTTTTTGTCTCTCAGACCTATATATTTTATTTTCATGTATTTTACTTATTCATGTAATTATTTAAATTTTTGATGAGAGAAAGTCGTAGGTGTGATTCCAGACAGGAATTTTCTTTCTCTTTTAATGATTGGATGGATA